TCCACATTTAACCTGATATAGATAACAATGCAGAGAGTAAAGTAAATACTAAAACTGTAATATACAAATTATTCAAATTTGTATTAATTCTATTAAAAAGTTTATGAAAATTTGAAACAGTTAAAGAAAAAAACATTTAAAAATGGTATCAATGTAATAAATGTACCCTTGCATGTAGGGTTGGGTATCGTTTTTTTTTTTTTTCGATACCGGTGCCAAATCGATACTTTTAAAACGGTTCCGGTGACTAAACGGTGCCTGAACCGATACTTATTAAAAAAATAAAAAATCCCCAAAAAATGATGGATTGGCCATTATAATAGAAATAGAATAGAGTGCAAATGTTAGAGGGTCAAGTTTTTTAATTTAAAAAAAACAAGCAGATAAAATTAGAAGTAGCATTAGAATAGAGAGTGCTAGAGTTAGAGGGTCAAATGAAGATGAAAGAGATGTGTTTTCAGCCGTTTCTTGAAAATATTAAGAACTCAGCTGCTTGGATTGAGTTGGGCAGGTCATTCCACCAGGAGGGAACAGTTAATGTAGAAGTCCATGAAAGTTTTATCATAGGTAAAATGCAACATGTTTCAATACAAGCATTTCAGTCAAATGTCAGTCACATCTTTAACCCACTTGGGAAAAATCAACCCATGGTAACAGTTTAAAAGTAGCCCCGGTGCCATATTGGTACCGGGTTTCGGTACCCAACCCTACTTGCATGTACCTTATTTTAAAAACTTAAGTTGTACGTTTATGGCAAAACTTAAATCTGTTTAGATGGGAGATACATTTTCAAATTAATATTCATTTTATTGGAGGGCATTTGAGATATCATTGAGACCACATGTAAAACATACACTAGGTCTGGATTTTCAGCCCTAATGTGTCTTATTATATAGATAGTTTTCCTCCTCTTTTGGAAAGTCATGGAAACACAATAATGAGCAAGTAAGAACACAACAATGATACCTCCATTTAGTTTACTTTAAATGTGTAAAGGGTTCACATAGAGCAGAATGATGGGCTTTAATGTAATCTGAATACTTGAAATCAAACCCTACATTGAAAGGTTCATAACAAATTAGAAAATGTGTGTGACTGAAACATTCAGTTCATGCTATTCAACCATTAAGACATAGAGTCAATGCATACAAGATAAATGCAAAACAACACATCCTCTATCTGCGGTGCGAGTAAAAGCACTGGTCTATATGGGTCCACGAGATTATTCAGGCTGGAAGCCAGCATGGAGAATACCAACGGCTGGTGCAGGGCATGTGGCATCCAGTACTTTTGGCTGGAGAGAGGACAAACTTTGATGAGCTGCTATAGAAGGTGGGATTCCCAATTGCAAAGCAAACTACTGCCATGCCATTTCATAAGACAAACGCCTGTCAGTTTGTTTGTAGTGAGTAGGCATGGGACGATAACCGGTTTCAAGGTATACCACGGTTTGGAAACGTCACGGTTTCAAAACCACTAAAATTTTCCGTTATACCGTTCCTGCGGTATGCGCAGTTTTTTTACGTGTCGTCAAAGACGGAAAGTGCAGGACTCCCTCAGTTGTGTGCAGCGAAGAGCGTAGCGAGTCACACGACCCCTCCTCCTCCGGTTGGTGCGAGCGGAGTCACCTGTGTGTGGGATGGCCAAAGGAGATGAATCCCTGGAAATTTTTCCCCCGTCGAAAAAGACGATGTCTGTCGTATGGGAATTTTTCAGGTAACGTAGACTAACCATGTTCCTTACAGATGACGTTTTAGCGCCGATCGCTAAATAAATACTTCCAAGTCGAACATAAACTATATATCTGTGTCATCTTCGGTTTTCTCCCTCTTTCACCCCCGATCAAGACAGAATGCGCAAATGCATGCATTTTTTATTAATTTTTTTATTTTATTTTTTTACAGAAATTATGTTATGATTATATTTTTGATTATTGAGCTGCAGGTTTAGGCTCACTTAAGTGACTGCATTTTTTTCATTTATAGGGATTTTTTTTTTACAGAAAATAATTTATTTATGTTCTGATTATTGTTGAGCTGCAGGTTTAGGCTCACTTAAGTGACTGCATTTAATTAAGAATAATTTAATTATTTATTCTAATTATTTAGCCTGACATGTTTACTGTTCCAAAATGTTCTATATGTTTCTTAAAAATAAAATGTGTTCAGTGGAAAAAAATGTTTTTTTACCCAGACGTTTAAAAATAACATATTTTAGAGCTGTAATCGCAATACCGTGATACCGTGAAACCGTGATATTTTTTTTATCTAAGGTTATCATACCGTCAGAATCTCATACCGGCCCAATGCTTAGTAGTGAGTAGCCTTGATTTAAAATAAAACGCTTAATACTATTGTAAAATTGTAATTGATGGGATCAACCTTAAATTCTTACAGACACTTCACTACAGTATGTGACAGATGATCGCGTACGCTCCACTAACTACTCTCCTATTGGTAGTTGCTCCCAAAGGTCGCTGATCATTTGCATAAAGTTAACCATTTCTTCATTGTCAGTGAACATGCCCACATCACATCACCAAAACACTCTGACATGCATGCAAAGTCCAGTATTTATTAAGAAAGTTACAAAAAAATTATTTTTTTTCTTAAAGGGTAAAAAACAACAACTATTTACTCACCTTTAAATTGTTCCTAACTGACTTACTTTCTTCTGCTGAAAAACAAAAGAAGATATTGTGAAGAATGTGAGTAACCAAACAGTTTCTGGTCTCCACTGACTTCCATAGTATTTTTTTCCCCCATAACAACTGTTTGGTTACCAAAATTCTTCAAAATATCTTTGCGTGTGTGTGTGTGTGTGTGTTCAGCAGAAGAAAGACATTCATAGAAGTTAGGAACAATTTGAGGGTTAGTAAATGATGACAGAATTTCATTATTTATTTTTTTTGAGTGAACTATCCCTTTAAAGGGGTCATATGATGCTGTTAAAAAGAACATTATTTTGTGTATTTGGTGTAATGAAATGTGTTTATGCGGTTTAAAGTTCAAAAAACACATTATTTTCCACATACTGTACATTATTGTTTCTCCTCTATGCCCCGCCTTTCTGAAACGCGTCGATTTTTACAAAGCTCATCGGTCTGAAAAAGCGAGGTGTGCTCTGATTGGCCAGCTATCCAATGCGTTGAGATTGACCGAATACCTCAAGCATGTGACGGAAATGTTATGCCCCTCACCATACTGTCAAGAGCTTGTAACACTCCAAAGAGAAAGGAAAAATTGAAATCGCATCATATGACCCCTTTAATGCAGTTCATGGACAAAGCAAGGAGATTTTCGTGTCACTATCAATTTCCAGTAACCATATGAAGGAAAAGTACTCTCAAAAAAGGGTGACAGCCTTAAACAAGTGACAGCCTCAAATTGGTTTTAAATTGGGTCAAATCGGTTTCTATTATTTATCTGTGACGTTCTGTTCTCTCTGACTGTGGGTGTGACTGTGATGCACTACTGCGTCATGAGCAGTGAAGTCAAACGCTTGTGACAGCAAACATTCCAGACACTTGACTCTTGCACAATATCATCAACAGTCTTCAGAAGTCTAACCAACATGGGTTGCTTGCCTTCTTAAATCTCCTGCGGTTTCTTGCGTTCTACTGGTTGAAGAACAGCATTAGCAACACCAAAGTCATGGGTTCATTCACAGACAACACTTGGACTGATAAAATGTATAGCCTGAATGCTATACATATTTGGATTAAAGCATTTTCCAAATGTAATGTAAATCTCTTGGCGTCTTACTTGTCACCTTGTTGTTATACCTTATTACTTCATTGAATATAAAGGAAACTTCAAAGTTAAAGTCAATAATAGGTTACTTATACAATAAACCATCATTTCTCTCCACCTATATAATATACGCACAAATATATACAGACAGCATAATATAGGCGTCAATATATATAACTGTTGCTCTTTCTGACGTTCGAAATCATAATAAACATAAATTAACTAACTAAACTGGCAACTATAGGAAATATATCAAGGAGAGCACTGATTTTTAATCATATCTTTTGGATGTGTGTGACATTTAGTCGCATTTGATAAGTTGTTCCGAGTTCTGGGAAACAATGGAACATTCACATCCTGAATTATGTAACTGTTTAACCCCATCTACTGCTGCTACGCGACGCGACAGGAACGCTCACATTATAAACAACTAAGCTGGCAACGCTGCAAGTGCTTCGTTTATGATCAATGTAAACGTTCTCGTACATTCTGTTGCGTCGCGCGCTTGTTGACTTTCGCTGATAGCGTTCTATTTTGTCGCGTCGCGTTGTTCGTCGAAGTTGGTTACTGCGTTGGTCCTTTAACAAACATGGACGGTCACAAGAGGCGTAAACATTGCCCACACAATCGGATAAGTTCGCCGAACAGAAACTTTTTTCCATGTTATTACTCCACAACGCGACAGCCAACGCGTCACGGTGGGTTTTTCAAGGGGTGGGGCGTTGTATTTTCCCACCGCTGAAAACTTTCGCGCAATCGTTCCCACTGCAAAGCAACAGAAACATCAAAGCATCCGCATCCCTCTTTTGCTGCGACACTGAATATGTTGACCACTTAACGATTCAAATCGCTTTTGAATAGTTCATCAATGATATCCATATCTTCATTTTTCAAACCGTTCTCCGCTGTGAGAAAGTACATTTTCCATACTAGCCTACCAAAGTTGTCCTCTTCCGCGGGCAGCTGAAACTTCGGCAGCAAACCCGTGGAAATTAATGTATTAATGTGAACGAGTTGAATGATTACAGCGACGAATGCAGCTATTATACCAGAAACTTAAGAAAGCCGCCATTCCCAACAAACCCCAGCCGACCCTGAGCCGTCTTTTAAACGCGATGTATCCAGACAATGATCCCGCAGAAAGCTGCAGTTGATTTGTCAAGGACACTGCAGCTCGCTTGTGTGTACGGAAAGCCACTGGTTTTGGAAAGCAGCAGTCAAATACAAAGCAGAGCCCGTCTGCGTTACCTTTTTGCTGTTTCTGCTGTTGTATCCGTTGTAGGGGTTGATTCCCGTCCTTGGCGCTACGGAGAGCAGCATTTTTCTCAGCGCGGGGTCCGGAGCGGCGAGGCTGACGTCAGTCAGAGGAAGTTCAGGCGGGATCTCTCTCTCTCTTATGAAAACATAACAGGCAGACGAATATGGACATAAGTAAATCTCCAGTAGTACAGTATTTAGGCCTACTGTTATTCCACTTTTGCTTTTATGTATGATATTTAGGCTACCCATAATAACTTAATATTTAACTTCAGTGACATCTTTTTCGTGAGACCATCCACATAAACCAAAACCTGAAATACATTCAATGAAGGAATGTCAGTACAAATAGTACAAATAGTTTCATACATTTATTACTTTGTTGTTACACTTTTGATCCCTGTTGTACACTTCACCAACACATTTGAATATGTACGAGTGTTTTGTATTAGTTGCATTGTTTTGTATTATAGAAGAGGGTTGGCTTTACACACTAATAATTCTCTAAAAGAAAATGCTATCCCTAATTTCCTGATAAATGAATTGTATAAATTGGACGATGTGATCTGTCAAATCAACAACATATACATTTTGTTTCTCATACTACTCTGGTTTAAATAATGCATTTCTACAGTAGGCTACATATTGTAATGATTCTGTTATTCCACAAGGTGGAACGTCTAGGTTACTTGTGTAACCCTCGTTCCCTGAAGGAGGGAACGGAGACGTTACGTCAGTCATGACTGACGTAACGTCGAACGTGACTGACTGAAAGGGAACGTCTAGGGTACTTGTGTAACCCTCGTTCCCTGAAGGAGGGAACGGAGACGTTACGTCAGTCATGACTGACGTAACGTCGAACGTGACTGACTGAAAGGGAACGTCTAGGGTACTTGTGTAACCCTCGTTCCCTGAAGGAGGGAACGGAGACGTTACGTCAGTCATGACTGACGTAACGTCGAACGTGACTGACTGAAAGGGAACGTCTAGGGTACTTGTGTAACCCTCGTTCCCTGAAGGAGGGAACGGAGACGTTACGTCAGTCATGACTGACGTAACGTCGAACGTGACTGACTGAAAGGGAACGTCTAGGGTACTTGTGTAACCCTCGTTCCCTGAAGGAGGGAACGGAGACGTTACGTCAGTCATGACTGACGTAACGTCGAACGTGACTGACTGAAAGGGAACGTCTAGGGTACTTGTGTAACCCTCGTTCCCTGAAGGAGGGAACGGAGACGTTACGTCAGTCATGACTGACGTAACGTCGAACGTGACTGACTGAAAGGGAACGTCTAGGGTACTTGTGTAACCCTCGTTCCCTGAAGGAGGGAACGGAGACGTTACGTCAGTCATGACTGACGTAACGTCGAACGTGACTGACTGAAAGGGAACGTCTAGGGTACTTGTGTAACCCTCGTTCCCTGAAGGAGGGAACGGAGACGTTACGTCAGTCATGACTGACGTAACGTCGAACGTGACTGACTGAAAGGGAACGTCTAGGGTACTTGTGTAACCCTCGTTCCCTGAAGGAGGGAACGGAGACGTTACGTCAGTCATGACTGACGTAACGTCGAACGTGACTGACTGAAAGGGAACGTCTAGGGTACTTGTGTAACCCTCGTTCCCTGAAGGAGGGAACGGAGACGTTACGTCAGTCATGACTGACGTAACGTCGAACGTGACTGACTGAAAGGGAACGTCTAGGGTACTTGTGTAACCCTCGTTCCCTGAAGGAGGGAACGGAGACGTTACGTCAGTCATGACTGACGTAACGTCGAACGTGACTGACTGAAAGGGAACGTCTAGGGTACTTGTGTAACCCTCGTTCCCTGAAGGAGGGAACGGAGACGTTACGTCAGTCATGACTGACGTAACGTCGAACGTGACTGACTGAAAGGGAACGTCTAGGGTACTTGTGTAACCCTCGTTCCCTGAAGGAGGGAACGGAGACGTTACGTCAGTCATGACTGACGTAACGTCGAACGTGACTGACTGAAAGGGAACGTCTAGGGTACTTGTGTAACCCTCGTTCCCTGAAGGAGGGAACGGAGACGTTACGTCAGTCATGACTGACGTAACGTCGAACGTGACTGACTGAAAGGGAACGTCTAGGGTACTTGTGTAACCCTCGTTCCCTGAAGGAGGGAACGGAGACGTTACGTCAGTCATGACTGACGTAACGTCGAACGTGACTGACTGAAAGGGAACGTCTAGGGTACTTGTGTAACCCTCGTTCCCTGAAGGAGGGAACGGAGACGTTACGTCAGTCATGACTGACGTAACGTCGAACGTGACTGACTGAAAGGGAACGTCTAGGGTACTTGTGTAACCCTCGTTCCCTGAAGGAGGGAACGGAGACGTTACGTCAGTCATGACTGACGTAACGTCGAACGTGACTGACTGAAAGGGAACGTCTAGGGTACTTGTGTAACCCTCGTTCCCTGAAGGAGGGAACGGAGACGTTACGTCAGTCATGACTGACGTAACGTCGAACGTGACTGACTGAAAGGGAACGTCTAGGGTACTTGTGTAACCCTCGTTCCCTGAAGGAGGGAACGGAGACGTTACGTCAGTCATGACTGACGTAACGTCGAACGTGACTGACTGAAAGGGAACGTCTAGGGTACTTGTGTAACCCTCGTTCCCTGAAGGAGGGAACGGAGACGTTACGTCAGTCATGACTGACGTAACGTCGAACGTGACTGACTGAAAGGGAACGTCTAGGGTACTTGTGTAACCCTCGTTCCCTGAAGGAGGGAACGGAGACGTTACGTCAGTCATGACTGACGTAACGTCGAACGTGACTGACTGAAAGGGAACGTCTAGGGTACTTGTGTAACCCTCGTTCCCTGAAGGAGGGAACGGAGACGTTACGTCAGTCATGACTGACGTAACGTCGAACGTGACTGACTGAAAGGGAACGTCTAGGGTACTTGTGTAACCCTCGTTCCCTGAAGGAGGGAACGGAGACGTTACGTCAGTCATGACTGACGTAACGTCGAACGTGACTGACTGAAAGGGAACGTCTAGGGTACTTGTGTAACCCTCGTTCCCTGAAGGAGGGAACGGAGACGTTACGTCAGTCATGACTGACGTAACGTCGAACGTGACTGACTGAAAGGGAACGTCTAGGGTACTTGTGTAACCCTCGTTCCCTGAAGGAGGGAACGGAGACGTTACGTCAGTCATGACTGACGTAACGTCGAACGTGACTGACTGAAAGGGAACGTCTAGGGTACTTGTGTAACCCTCGTTCCCTGAAGGAGGGAACGGAGACGTTACGTCAGTCATGACTGACGTAACGTCGAACGTGACTGACTGAAAGGGAACGTCTAGGGTACTTGTGTAACCCTCGTTCCCTGAAGGAGGGAACGGAGACGTTACGTCAGTCATGACTGACGTAACGTCGAACGTGACTGACTGAAAGGGAACGTCTAGGGTACTTGTGTAACCCTCGTTCCCTGAAGGAGGGAACGGAGACGTTACGTCAGTCATGACTGACGTAACGTCGAACGTGACTGACTGAAAGGGAACGTCTAGGGTACTTGTGTAACCCTCGTTCCCTGAAGGAGGGAACGGAGACGTTACGTCAGTCATGACTGACGTAACGTCGAACGTGACTGACTGAAAGGGAACGTCTAGGGTACTTGTGTAACCCTCGTTCCCTGAAGGAGGGAACGGAGACGTTACGTCAGTCATGACTGACGTAACGTCGAACGTGACTGACTGAAAGGGAACGTCTAGGGTACTTGTGTAACCCTCGTTCCCTGAAGGAGGGAACGGAGACGTTACGTCAGTCATGACTGACGTAACGTCGAACGTGACTGACTGAAAGGGAACGTCTAGGGTACTTGTGTAACCCTCGTTCCCTGAAGGAGGGAACGGAGACGTTACGTCAGTCATGACTGACGTAACGTCGAACGTGACTGACTGAAAGGGAACGTCTAGGGTACTTGTGTAACCCTCGTTCCCTGAAGGAGGGAACGGAGACGTTACGTCAGTCATGACTGACGTAACGTCGAACGTGACTGACTGAAAGGGAACGTCTAGGGTACTTGTGTAACCCTCGTTCCCTGAAGGAGGGAACGGAGACGTTACGTCAGTCATGACTGACGTAACGTCGAACGTGACTGACTGAAAGGGAACGTCTAGGGTACTTGTGTAACCCTCGTTCCCTGAAGGAGGGAACGGAGACGTTACGTCAGTCATGACTGACGTAACGTCGAACGTGACTGACTGAAAGGGAACGTCTAGGGTACTTGTGTAACCCTCGTTCCCTGAAGGAGGGAACGGAGACGTTACGTCAGTCATGACTGACGTAACGTCGAACGTGACTGACTGAAAGGGAACGTCTAGGGTACTTGTGTAACCCTCGTTCCCTGAAGGAGGGAACGGAGACGTTACGTCAGTCATGACTGACGTAACGTCGAACGTGACTGACTGAAAGGGAACGTCTAGGGTACTTGTGTAACCCTCGTTCCCTGAAGGAGGGAACGGAGACGTTACGTCAGTCATGACTGACGTAACGTCGAACGTGACTGACTGAAAGGGAACGTCTAGGGTACTTGTGTAACCCTCGTTCCCTGAAGGAGGGAACGGAGACGTTACGTCAGTCATGACTGACGTAACGTCGAACGTGACTGACTGAAAGGGAACGTCTAGGGTACTTGTGTAACCCTCGTTCCCTGAAGGAGGGAACGGAGACGTTACGTCAGTCATGACTGACGTAACGTCGAACGTGACTGACTGAAAGGGAACGTCTAGGGTACTTGTGTAACCCTCGTTCCCTGAAGGAGGGAACGGAGACGTTACGTCAGTCATGACTGACGTAACGTCGAACGTGACTGACTGAAAGGGAACGTCTAGGGTACTTGTGTAACCCTCGTTCCCTGAAGGAGGGAACGGAGACGTTACGTCAGTCATGACTGACGTAACGTCGAACGTGACTGACTGAAAGGGAACGTCTAGGGTACTTGTGTAACCCTCGTTCCCTGAAGGAGGGAACGGAGACGTTACGTCAGTCATGACTGACGTAACGTCGAACGTGACTGACTGAAAGGGAACGTCTAGGGTACTTGTGTAACCCTCGTTCCCTGAAGGAGGGAACGGAGACGTTACGTCAGTCATGACTG